TTCTCTTTTTTTTTTTTGGGGAGTCAAAACACCCAAAACACGGTGTGAAAAACGACGTAGCATCAAACAGCACCAATCTTGCTTTATTTATTTTTTCTTTTAGTCGTGCGTGGCGTGCCGTGTCTGTGGGTTCAAACCTTGTGCCTTTGACTTACCCAGTACTAGCCATCCCTAGTCAAATTCAACCCAAATTTAAAAATTCTTCTATATTAATCATTTTTTCTTTTTTTTTATAATTATTTAATTAATGGATTTGTTTTTTGGAGATAAAGTTTTGATGGCAATTTAATTGTTTAATCAATTGTGGCGAAAGAGGCCAAAGAGAAAGAGGGGCTTTTGCTGATAGTTATCATGAGCAAGGTTCAACGTTCCCTAATTAATTCATTTTTTTTCTTCCTTTTCAGCTATTGTTTGTTGTTTTTGGGGGAAGAAAAAGCCTACTTTGCTTGACTTCCCTTCAAATTTCAATTGAACAAAAATTTGGAGTTAAAGAGGATAATAAAGAGAGTTTTGTTTTGTCTACAATGAAGGCAATAATTGATGTTTGGTGTCTCATTATTTTTGGGTCAAATTGGCTTAAAATCACTATGGAAGATTTTTGGCAAAAATATTAATACTTATTTGTCAAGGTTGGTTCACAATTTTGAAAGCTATAATTATTCAATTCGGAATGGTTTAAATTCCATTTTCAAGGTTCAAAAAACCCAACAGAAATTAGCTTATCCAATTGAGCAGATTTGTTGATTTATTTATTTATTTATTTATTTTGTTTAAGTTGCCTGTTTCCTTAGAAGATGCAATTGCTTGTCCAGGGATGTTGGAGAGTAAGATGGAGCTTGAAAGAAGGTTCAAATTCCTCAATTATTCCAACTCGTAAAGTAATTGTTTGGATTTGGGTAATTTGGAAACTCAATCTACTTCATGTCTTTGACTTTGAGACCTTCATAATTTTAATACATACAAACTTTGGCTCACAATTATCAGGCCAACAGAGCAATTCAAATTCAAAGCTTTATTGATTGGAAAAATGCAAAAAAAAAAGGGATAAATTACAGTTTAGAATAACAAAAAATACAAATTGAAATGCCAATCAAGCAGTTCCCCAAACCCCACTTTAAGTGTGGGATTGGTGTTTAAAACAAGAAAAAAGAAAACTCAAAATTTGTTATTCCATGGCTGTGGGGCTGCAATGCATTTTAATTTGTTTTTTCTCTTTGAGCATGATATATAGTAACTTGTCCAGAGAATCCAGCCAGATCTAATTTTTCTTAGGTCTGTTTTAACATGGAAGGTAAGATTTACCCTTCTACCTTTTTTGGGGTATGTATTTCCAAGTTCCAACAGCTTAGATTCTTATATACATTTGCACATGTAGGGGAAACTTACACAAACATAAGAGGGAAAAAAAGAAACTTCTTTCTGGCTTAAAGCTAAAGATATGCATACACCTACATCAATTATTTTTCTTCATGTCAAGATAAGGAAATATCAGGTTCCTTGTAACAGTTTTTTTTTTTTTTT